GGATGATCCTGGATATCCTGCATTAAGACCAGCTGTGGTTAATTAATCAACTTCAAAGCATGGTTTCATATCCTTGTTTGACAGACTTGGGGAGTTTGACAGTTTGGAGAGGGGCCATGCGTCAGCACTTTTTTTTGTGGGCAGACAGTTCCAGGTACAATCCTTGATGATTCCCCAGTTCAAAGGATCAGGTAGTAGGTGATGTAAAAGACCTTTACCTGAGACCCTGACTCAGTCAGAGTAGACCATACTGACCTTGAGTGACCAATGGCAGCTTCATGCGTCCATAGTTACCAAGTGGCCAGAATTCAATCACACTAACCATAGTTTATTAAACCATTGTGGTGTGCAATGTCTGTATTCAGCCATTGTCTTAAATGTTCTTTATTTGTAAAGCAACATTTCTGGTGCCACATGAGACAAGCAGTCCCACCTGAACAGCATAAATGTACTGAAAGAATATATATAATCTGATATAATGCTGCAGTTCTAATTCTATAGGGCCAATTCACACATAGCATTTTTTTGGATGTATATCCTGCCTTCCCCTTCACGGGCTCAGGGCAGGTTCCAACAGTATAAAAGTACAATACAATTAAATCTACATTTAAAACACAATATAAAATAACATAACTCATATGTGCCATACAACTCTAGTAAAAAGCCAGATATCTCAGTGGTTGATAGTACTAGAAATTAAATTTTCCAGAGATCTATAAAATTTTGAATCTCAGACCCAGGCTACAGATGCAGACCAGCCAAAGAAGGGGGACGCCCACTACCTTAACCGAAAGCCCGGCGGAAGAGCTCCGTCTTGCAGGCCCTGCGGAATTGTAATAAATCCTGTAGGGCCCTGATCTCATACAGGAGCTCATTCCACCAGGCTGGGGCCAGGGCCAAAAAAGCCCTGGCCCTGGTCGAGGCAAATCAGACGTCCCTAGGGCCAGGGACCACCAAAAGATGTTGATTGATGGACCTTAGTGCTCTACGGGGCTCATATGGAGAGAGGCGGTCTAAGGTATGCTGGCCCCTGCAATATAGGGCTCTGAAGGTAAGTACTAGCACCTTGAAATGGATCCGGAATTCAATAGGTAGCCAGTGCAGGTCGCTCAGCACCGGGCGGATATGTGCCTGCGCAGGCGTTGCTGTCAACACCCACACTGCCGCATTCTGCACTAGCTGCAACTTTTTTTTAACATGTACGGGACAAATGCGTGTATCATGCACATGTGCTAATTGACTAGTCGGGACTGGCTAAAGCTTCCTATTGAATATAGACATAGGGGCAAACCCAGGTTTGCTGCCACATAATATGGGAACGGGCCCAAATCAGCAGTGTGTCCTTGACTCTGCATCTGGGCAACTCAGGCCCCTGCCACACGGCTGGGAAAAGGACGGTTGATCTGCTGCTAATGTGAGCCGCACCGAAGTTAGAACGCTGCAGCGGGATCCCACAGATCTTCTGAGCCGTGGCGCGTCGCTCCCCGGCACGATCAGATGCCGGGGAGGAAGAGTCGGATGGGAGAAGGAGGCTGCCGAACTGTGCATGCTCAAGCATGTGCAGTATGGCAGGGGGCCGGGATGCACCGGCGCAAAGACGCGCCGGCCGATCCCACGGCCCGGCTTGCGGCGCTCTAATGGATACAACCACCCAGGTAGGTGGTTCTTTTTTAGTGCGCGTTTTCGGCGGTACGGACGGATCAGGGACGGGCAGGCAACGATTCCCAGATGTTGCCGTGGGATCGCGCCCATTTGCTCCGCCCCCGTTCCGTCCCCCTCCCGGCACAAAACGCCTCGTATGAACAGGGCCTCAGTATCATTAATCTGTAGACTGACATCTTTTTTTTTTTTTTAATTACTTCAGCCAGGTTATGGGAGCAAAGCAGATGACACAAGAATCCAAGGAAATCATATACGCTTCCATTTAAATTTGGAATGTTATATACAGAAGCACTTATTCAGTCACATCCCATTTCTTAGCTATATGCAACTCATACCAAGTTTAATAGCCAACGATATAGCTGAAGCAATCACCCTGAAAATAAGTTGAAAATAAGATTCACTCACCCCCCTTTTTTAAAAGCTGTGAAGTACACAGATTGTCTTCTCCTTTCTTTAGTTATCAAGATTTATTTCTTCTCTTGCTTCTAATATCCAGTGAAGATATTTTCTGCCAGTGTTAACTTCTCGGATCAATAAATTTTGATAGTGATCTTGAGGGAAGTCAGTATCTGCCAGCTATCATAGCCCTGCACGCTCTTGCTGAAAAGCAGCTGTTACAAACAAAATTGGCCATATCTGGGGGACTGATATTCAAGTCACTGCACATATTTTATGGCACAATTATCTAGTGTGGCTGTATTGTCCTCTCCGGGGGGGGGGGGGGGAGGTTCAAGGCAAGATGCTGCAGCTTGAACGATCCAAGTTTATGAGTCAGAGGCGATCACTCTTCACTCAGTTTAAATTTTCACAAAGATGTATTTGTAACCGTTGTGGAGTTAAAACGCAGACTTGCACTGAGTAGGTTTGCTTTGTGATTCTTAAGCCAGCCACACAACGTATAATTCACCAAGGACAGTATAGCCCACCTTCTAGGCACTTGATAACTCCAGCACTGAGCACAGAGTAAAACCAAGAGAGCTCTTGATGAGCTGGTGGGCTGAGTTCTTCTGGGCGGGTCACAAGTTGTGCGTGAGTCATCTTTATTTTTTAGTTATTTAAAACATTTATTAGCCGCCCTTCTCCCTCATGGAGCTCAAGGCAGCTTAGATAAAATACATAAAATAAGATCCATTTAAAAACCAAAAATTTGGAATCACAGTTTAGGACTTCTAGTAAATTAATCAAATGTGGTCTTAAATGAAACTGCCTTCAGCTGTCTCCTAAAGATTGAAAGTGAGAGGGACAGGCGCACCCACCCTGGGGAGGTTGTTCCACATTTGTGGGTGTAATGATTTCATGTTTAACTGTGTGTGTGTGTCTTTAAAAGTTTGGTTGCATGGCTGTACGATAGTCTAGAGTGGTTGAAACAGGCAAGTGAGTGTGATGGGTGATTGGCAGAAAGGGGGAGGGGTTTTAGAAAATGTGTGTCAGTCAAGAGTTACAGTTTAGACAGTTGAAAAAGACAGTTAGAGAGTTAGTTAAGTTCTGTGTATGAGAGGAGTGAGACACATCCCTGTGTGGGATAAGTTAGTTCTGAAGTCTTAGAGAGAGACAGTATGGTGTGTGATACAAGAGTTAAGTTTTGTGTATGAAGAAAAGTTGAAAGTATAAGGAAACAAGAAAGTAAAGTTAAAGAGAAAAATAAAAAGTCTGAATGACAGACGGGAATGAAATAGGAAACCTAGATGACCCTGAGTAATGCGTTACAAAGTTACATGCCAAAATCCCTGACAGTGTGAGAGAAAAGTGTGAGAAAAACCAGTTGGAATTGTTCAGTATTTACCCATTCATAGATACAGAGTACTATCCTGTTATGTACGAATTATATCAATAAATCTTTTATTTAAGTCTGCCAGCTCTGAAAGACATAATTTCTCAGGAAACACATAGACCCTCATGAAAGCCTAAAACCTCGACCTACCTACCCAGTGATAGAAATATTATATTATAAAGGTTTGGAAAGCCTTAAATTTCCTGTAGGCAGCCAGATATACCCAGTAAAACAAAATAAAAAGAACATTTTAAAGGGAAACCAGACCTCCCCAAAGAAGGGGTCGTCACAGTGGGGCTGCCCCTGAAAAGGCCCTCTCTCTCGTGTACCCACCAAATGAACTTCTTTGATTGACAGGACAGAAGGGCCTTTCCCTATGATCTTAATTCTCAGGCACAGGCATATTGTAGAAGATGGCCCTTCAGATACTCCGATGCCAAGCAACATAGGTCTTTAAAGGACAAAAACAGTACCTTGAACTGGGCTTGGCAGCAGATCAGTAACCAGTGTAATTGCTGTACTATCAAGGTCATATGCTCCCATTACCTGCCCTGACCAGCAGTCTAGGCTCAGCATTCTGCATTAATTGCAGCTTCTTACTGAGGCAGAGAGGTTCTTCTGCACCCACTCCATTGAACCGAATAGGAACTGTGCAGGAGGGCACATTGTTTCCATACAGGTCCCAGGTTATGTTCTTGGCTGCTCCAGTTAAAGTATCTCGGGTATGGGAAAGACCGTTCTCTCCTTGAGACTTTGGAGCACTGTTACTAGTATGAGGTGGTGGTGGAAATGGCTGTCAAGTTGCGCCCGACTTATGGTGACCCTATAGGTTTTTCAAGGCAAGAGACGTTCAGAATTGGTTTGCCATTGCCTGCCTCTGCATAGCGACCTTGGATTTCCTTGGTAGTCTCCCATACATGTACTAAGCCAAGGTCCTGCTGAGTTTACAAGATCTGACAAATCTGGGCTGTCCAAGTCAGGGTCCAGTATGAGAAGGCAGTGCTAATCTAGGTGGAGCAGTGGTCTCACTCAGTATTAAGCAGTATCACATGAAAGCTTTTCTGCATAATTCATCTCCAAAACGGGCCAGCAATGAATTTTAAAGTTTGTTTAAACTTGAAAAGTTCTGTATTCCTTTGTGCTGCTGTTCCCCATTAATCTTGTTTGACCACACTATTTCGTGTTGCATTGAACTTTGGGATTTGTTCATATTTTTTTCCCTTTTCGGGCTCTGTTAAGAAGGCTGTGTGTTTTTAGCGTTCATGTTTTTCAGAATGTGACTCCTTCAGATATTTTTTCACTGTTTTATGGAAATGCTTCTGATGTTGTTTATAGAAACACATCAAGAAAAAAAATTAAACAGTTGCAGGGCATTTTCCTTGTATTATTTACCATTTTTATGTCATTTGTTTTCTCTCAGTTGTATTAGATGATGTGTCGTTTCTTTATTTTTCCATGTTAAGAGGATCACAACAACAGTGTGCTCATAAACAGTGTCAAAACAATGTTAATTTCTCCCATGCTGATCTAGACTTTATTTTTTCCCCTCTCCCCCCCTCTCTCTTAGAGTGCCGATATGAGTCCTGCCAGCAGCACCAATTCCCTTCCTGTTAGCCCACTTACTGAAGAACCATTGCCTTTCAAGGTAAAGCTATTTTGCTATAAACTACATACTTCATATGGTCTGACAAACTTTAGCATGCTGGAACCACACTTTCTGGAAAATCATGAGCACTTGGCACATCTTGCAGAACGATACTGAGATGAGGACTTTATGCTTTGAGATATTGTTAGATGAATTTCCAGCTTCTGGCTTGCAAAGATTCCTTTCTGTTTTCATAAGGCCACATGGCATTGAGGATCTTTGGTTGGATCCTCTGATATTTAATGCATCTCTGACTAAAAAGCAGCCAGAGAGCCAGAGATGATTCAAGGATGTAGCAGTGGGAAGGAGACACTTTGGCTGATTTCCCACAAGCTGCTGCTCCGCGCTCGTTCCTCCCTTTGCCCCGATTTTACGTGTCAATTTCACACCATGTGCTGCGCGGCCGCATTTTGCTCCGCAGCTTCGCCCGATTTCCCCCGCGTCTACTCAATCCTAAAAAAAAAACAGGATTGAGTAGACGCGGGGGGAATCGGGACAAGCTGCGGAGCAAAATGCGGCCCCGCAGCACATGGTGTGAAATTGACACGTACGATCGGGGAAAAGGGAGGAACAAGCGCGGAGCAGCAGCTTGTGGGAAATCAGCCTTTAACTCTGCTCCCAGTGCTATTTCCCTGATCAAAACTGCCTGTGGGCTCCATTCAGCCCCTGTATGAAAAAAGACAGAATACAAGCAACTGCCTTTTTCTTCTATGGTGGGGCATTTCAACTGGGGGAACAGAACTGGATAAGGAAGAGGTAAAGATGAAATTTCTGAGTACCATGGCCCCAGTCCATATGCTTCTCCACAGCTCCTTGCAGCTGAGATCAATTTTAGACATCTGACACCTGTTGAAGTTTGCCCCATAGCTATTATTTATTTGTCTATGCATTAAAAAAAAATGTATTGAAAGCCAGTTTCCTTTTCCAGCATTAGGATGTGGCTTGGCATGTCTGTGTTTGTGGTGGTGTAGATGTAGATTCTCTGCACCATCAAGGTCCCACTCTGAAGGATACTACCAGAAGGAATTGCTGGACCTGGGGACCATATAATGCTGGACATTGGAATTGCATAATCTCAGAGAGTTCGTTGTGTGCTACTGTGTGCTACAGAGCTCAAAGCTCAAGGCAGTTCATTGCTGTGAAAAGCCACTAGGCTATCCATGTGTACTTCTGGATTGTTCTCTGCCTGTTATCCTTCGCATTGCCTGCTCCTCTCGACACGTGCTAGCCTGAAAGCCACTGAGGACTTGAATTTTACTAGTAATGGGGCCTGAACCCCCTGCACTTCTTAATTCTCTTTTCTAAGATTCCTCCGGAACGGAATCACCTTTAGAATTTTAACCCAGAGTTAGGCTTGTGTTGTTGGGAATGATATGCTGATACTGAATAACTCATTATGCAATGATGATAGGGGCTTGATGGTTCGTGTCAGTTAAGTTAGTTTCACTTGGGTAGCCATGCTGTTCTGCAGTAGCAGCTTAAAGACCAACAAGATTTCCAGAGTGGGTAGCCATGTTGGCCTGCAATAGAAGACAAGATTTGAATCCAGCAGCACTTTAAAGGGCAACAAGATTTCTGGGGTATAAGCTTTCGAGAGCTGGTATCTGACAAAGGGAGTTTTGACTCTTACCCTGGAAATCTTCTCCATCTTTAAGATTCTAAGGACTCAAATTTTGTTAGTCAATTACATTGTCACACTAGGTGACCTAAAGGGATACAATATCATCCAGTCATTTATTTCCACCATAGATACTCTTCCTTCTAATCCTATTATGCTCATTTGGCTGGTACGTGTAACCTAACTAAATATGTCATCAGTATGCATTTGTATTAAACACCAGCATTCTTAGAGATTCTTTGTTGTCCCCCCCCCCACAGAATAAAAGGAGAGAAAGGAGAATCGTTATAGGTTCTCTGAATTTGGAGGCTGTCTGAGTCATGATTCAAAAGCTCAAGGATTACACATCTTCTTTTCTCCAAAGGTCGTGAGTCATGACCTTTTGTGGATTTGTCCACGGTTCTCTGGATCCTTAAAAATTCCCTTTCAGTGGTGTTTGTTTAACTCTGTCTGCTGTGACTCAGGTTCAGAACTTGAACAAAAATAGAAGTAAACTGAAAGTGCATTGAGTTTATGCGCAGAAACTCATATTATACTGTGAGTTGGTTTAGAACACTTAAAAACAAATATTGTTGTCGGTTGATTTTGAACACTCTCTTTTGATGCTTGTAATTACTGACCCAATTCTGAATTGAGCTGTAGGGAGTTTACTCAGTAATGATCATTCCTTCCTTTCCGTGTCCTTTATTTTCTGCTACAAGAAATGCCTTGCTTTTTAGGGGGGGGGGGAGATTGTGCTTTTTCCTTATGCCACTCCGATTTCATCAAAGAGGTTTCCCGTGGCATCATGAATAATGGCGTAAGAGTGATGGTATGGAAATCCTCAAGGGAGCTATTTTTGAAAATCCACATGAAAGAGGAGCAAAAAGATAAGATATTAATTTTGTGGGCATTCTGCTGTGTGCTGTTTCTAAAAACAACATGGGTTATTAAAAATAAAACCACTTATGCTTTTGGTAGGGCAGCAATTGTTATTTTCATTTTTAAACACTTTTGAAGAATGGAAACCTCCCCATTCCTGTGGAACTCATGTAAATGTTGGTGCTGGGCTGCAGGGTAAGTCAGATGTATCTGTGAGCCACTGCTGTATAGGGGAAATAAAAATAATATCAAATGCAACAGTTTCCATTATTGCTTCCTGACTTGCTCCAGGAGAGAGCAATATTGTTTCAGCAGTAATGTGAGTGAGTGATTTTATATGCAATAACCCTTTCCAAATACTGTCAGTCTATAATATTGGTTTCTGATGACAGGAAATGTATTACTCTGGCCAACATGATCGTAATACTTCCCACCTTCCCGCTCTCATGAAGTGAACAGAAATGTTTTAGATTTTTAATTTGACTTGCTTGTGCAGTACTGAGAAGGCCAATGTTATCAAACAACAGAGAATGAGCATTGAGCCCCTGTGGGATAACTGATGACCTTTTGCATACTAAGATTTACTTTTGAATCTTAAATAAGTTCAGGCTTTCTTCATAGCTTATCTGTACTTCAAAAAAACTTTAGACTGCTACATCCTGTTTTTTGAGGATCACGAAACCGCGGGGAAAATCGGGGAAAATCACAGGGGAAATCGGGCGAAGCCACGGGTCAAAATGCAGCCGCACAGCTTCGACCAATGGAAATTGGTCCAATGGAAACGAGGCAAAGGGAGGCGTGATGGCGGCGCAGCTCCTTGTGTGAAATCAGCCTGTGTGAACTGGCAAAATCCAGTTGGGAAGTGCACTGAAAGTGGATTGAAAATGGATTCTTTAGTGTGTGTGATGGCAGCTTTTGACTCTCGAAAGCTTGTACCCTGAAAATCTTGTTGGTCTCTAAAGTTCTACTGGACTCGAATCTATCCCAAAGAACTGAATAAATTAGTTGGTTCCTAAACAATATAGTGATTTTCTCTTGTTTTATTAAATAGAACCTTAAAAAGAGAACGGCTTGTCTTCTGTATATGATACTTGGAGGCAACTGATCATTTTCTCCAGCTTTTATTATCTTGGTTACTCTTTTCTCACTTCAGTAATTAGCTTAGCCAATGCTAATCCCCCAAGTGAGAAACAGCACCATTAATAAAAGGGAACAATCTTTGACAGTAATGCTGAAAGAGCGCGTGGGAGTCTGCTGATAGATCTCTCATTCATCTAGTTCTTTTTTCCCTCTTCTGTATGTCTGTTTATAGGAAAGTTGTAACTAGGATACCAGCTTTATGTAACATCAGTTAAAACAGATAATCTAGCAGCCAGGAGCAGATCAAGGGAGATATTCTCCATTTCCGAATTACCACTAAAATTCAAAGGATTGTCATGCATGTTGCCTAAAGATAGTCCATTCATTCTAAACATTGCAGGTGTTTTCCTGTGTACATGTGAAGGCATAACACCAGGCTGATTTCATTTGCAGGCCCTTGGCACCAGTGTTCCCTCTAAGCTGAGTTAGTGTGAGCTAGCTCACAGTTTTTTAGCCTCCGGCTCACATATTTTTGTCTTAGCTCAGGAAGGATGGCTCCAGGGCAAACTAATTTATGCTGTAGCCAAATCGCTCACTCACAACTTTAATGCCAGTATCTCACAAAGTAGAATTTTTGCTCACAAGACTCCATAGCTTAGAGGGAGCATTGCTTGGCACTGACCATCGACAGAGGGTGTAGTGGGGAGACCTTGTCTCTGTATTGAACATTGCAGGGTGCATAGCCTGGCCTGTGAAAGCATCAAGGACCTGGTACTGAAACAGGGATGACATCAAGCTGCTACTGAGTGTGGTTCAAAATTGGGGGACATTATTCAGAGTAGAAGGGTAGGTGATTGGTTCTCCCCCCCCATCATATCGCAGCTGATTTACAGCAATCCCATAGGGTTTTCAAGGCAAGAGACATTCAAGGGTGGCCTGCCATTGTCGGCCTCTGCATAGCAACCGTAGACTTCCTTGGTGGTCTTCCATCCAAGTACTAACCAAGGCTGACCCTGATGAGCTTACAAGATTGGACTAGCTTGGGCTATCCAGATCACAGCTGGCTCTATTATGGAAGAAATTGTCCCAGTGAAGCTGTAAACTGGGAATGGTATATTAGTTTAAGTGGTAGTGCTCAAAAAGGGATAAAATTCAACACCATTTTCAGAAGCCTTTCTTATATTGTATATGAGGCAGAGGTCATTTCGGGGGGATCGCGGGGGAACGCAGTTCCCCCGGGTGAGGTGCAGGGGGCGGGGCACATGACGAAGCCCCGCCCCCTGCTTCCGGCCGCCCCGCTTCCAGCCCTCATTCAGCCAGGAGGAGGCAGGAGAAGAGGGAGGGTAAGTTGCTTCCTCCCCGCCTCTCCCCACCCCTGCCTGCCTGGGGCTAGGGAGGGCCTTGGCGGGGCTTCCTCGCACTCCCGCTGGCCTTGCAGGTC